TCAGCTAACTTGGCTTTATTAAATGCAATCAAAACTAACATTAAAACATACAAAAGGCTACTAAAATTTTCCTCTCACAAGATGGATTTTCATCTTCTAGCATAGAATCAAAACAATGCTTATAGACTGATAAGATTACCAAGATGCTGCCCTGTGGGCTACATCATCGAAGATTGGAAAGATGTCACTGGTCTCGTAGAGAAAAAATAAATGTTTAGCTGAGAACAGACTTGAATAGGCAACATTAGGTCCATCTATGAAACTATATACAACATAGTTGACATTTTCTTCTATTTTTAGCAACACTCCAAACAACTGCTTATGTAAGTCACCCAGTTTATTGAGAATTTAGAAACATTAATGGGGAAACAGAATGATGTTTATAAAGAGGAAAAGGGAGAAAAAGTACTTTGGCTTAGTTACAATGAGCTATAATGACTAGGTGAATAATCAACACAATTCCTGGATAAGGTGATTTTTAATTCCACCCCAAATCTTGTCCTGCTGTCCATTTTTCATTTTGGGTCCAAATTTTTTTGACCCTCCCGCTCAGCATGCCTAATGCTGGCATCAGAAAAATTTCCTCCCAGGGAGCCAAAACCAGCCCTTCTGCAAAATACAAACCAGCACCACTCCTCACCCTAGAATTCCACCCTGAATCTCGTCCTGCCGTCTGTTTTTCATTTCGGGTCCACCTTTTTTTGACCCTCCCGCTTTGCATGCCTACTGCCAGTATCAGAAAAATTTCTTTCCAGGGAGCCAAAATTGGCCCTTCCTGAAAAAAACAGCACCACTTCTAACCCTAGAATTCCATGACGAATCTCCTCCCGGCATCTGTTTTTCATTTCGGATCCAACTTTTTTTGAACCTTCCGCTTTGCGTGCCTACTGCTGGCATCAGAAAGGTTTCCTCCTGGGGAGCCAAAATCAGCCATTCCTGTAAACACAAAGCAGCTGTCAGGCCTAGCCCAAGGAACTCCAAGAGACAATGCAAATTCAGTCCAGCTATG